CCCAGCCCCCTGCTCCTCGGTCCCCCGGTTCCTCCAAGTCTGCAAAACTGGGGAAGCCGGTTCCCGAATCCGCGACTGACCCTCAGCCCGGGGCTTGTGGGGGCAGGAGGCGGACAGATCTGTAGACCCTTCTGCCGGGGCCCCTGACTGGAAATCAGCGCCGCTGGACGTTGGTTTAGAAAATGCGGATCGAGGGAGGCGCAGCTGCATTTAAGAGAACCGCAAAGCGGGGAAGCCCCGCTGTGAGGTCTGCAGACCCTCAGTGGGTGGCAGAAAGGACTTTTCTTTCTAGAGGGGAGCAAAGGGGAGTTCAAAGAAGGTGGCGGGTGAAGGGAGGATGGAGGGTGGCAGCATCGTCTTAGAACGTTTCACCCTGACGTGAGCCTTGGGTGGGTGGGTGGCGGGTTTTGTTTGCTACCGGCATGGAACTCGGGGTCCTTAACCGCGGGGGCATATCCCCAAGCACTGCCTATCCCCCACCTCCGCGTTTTTTGTAGTGGGGATTGAACCCAGGGACACTTGACTCAACTACATACATCCCCAGCGCTTTTTCTTTTTTCTTTTGAGACATGGTATCAGTAAGTTGGTGCAGCTGGCTTTGCACTTGAGATCCTCTTTTCTCTCAGCCTCCGGAGGCCCTAAGATGTATCTTGCTTTCATTGATTACCTCTGCCCTTGAGCGTTTTTCTTAAGTGATCCTTCATTTTTCTGAAATTGTTTCTCTGTCTCTTTGTCCAGTGCCGCAGTCTGGCTGGGCACAATTCAGGAGCCACTTGTCAAAGGAAACAAACTTTATTTTTAGAACCACACACGCCAAACCACACAGCTCTTCAGGAAAACCTTCAGAGCCCAACTGCCACCACCAGCTTCCCACAAGCCTCTCAACCTCCCCCACTCCTGCTCTTGAGGATGATTGGCTGGGTCGTGTGGGCGGAGCCAAAACAGTCCCCCAATGAGCAGCTCCATGGTCTGAAAGGGCGGGAAACAGCCCAATGAGCATCATCCCAGAGGAGCCAATCAGTTGGCAGCTAGAAGTTTGCTGGGGCCCCTTCGGCTGTGGCTCTCAACAGTCCAACTTTTTGTTCAGTTTCAGTGGTGTTGTTTTTAATTTGACATTGATTTTTTTTTATACTTGATATATAGAAAAATCATGGATTTTTTGCATATTAAGGTCCTGTGTGTTTTACAACCATGCTACACTCCAGTATTAATTGCAGGAGTTTTTGTTGGTTTTTTGAGATTTTGTAGGTAGGCAATAATGGCACATGTGAGAAGTCATTTTCTATTTGTTTCATCTAAGTCTCAATGCCTATCATTATTATTTCTTATGGTTTCTCTGTACCTATTGCTTTGATCTTAAGAGTTTTTGTTGTTTATCTTGTTGAGATGATCAATTACGTGAGTTGACTTTTTAATGTTTGGTCATTCTTTATAGTAGGGGCTGGGGTTGTGGCTCAGTGGTAGATGCTTTCCTAGCATGTGTGAGGCACTGGTTCAATTCTCAGCCTCATGTACAAATATATAAAATAAGGTCTATTGACAACAAAATATTTTTGAAAAATACTTGTAAGAATTTCTACTTGGATTTTGTTGGATTATTGTGTTTAAATAAGGATAGATGTAATATACCATTATTTGTTGTGGGCTTTTTTCTTATTTATTTATATAATTTTTTTTGCAGTGCTGGGGATCAAAGTCAGGGCCTCATCTATCTAGGCAGGTGCTTTACTGCTGAGCTATCCCCAGACCCTGTTGAAGATTTTTCATCCTTATTCATAAAATCTCTTTGTCTTCTCTCTCCTCCTCTGTACTGGGATTGAAACCCAGGGAACTCTCACTGAGATACATCCCCAGTTCTTTCTTTCTTTCTTTAGAGAACCTCAGTCATTCCTTTATCTATCTATATATCTATTTATTTTGTTTCTTATAATGTCTATCTAGTTTAGTATCATGGCCCTATAGGACTCATACATTATTAAGAAGTACTTTAACATCTATTACCTGGAGAAATTGTGATGATTGGTGTTATTTAATGTGAGAATTAGCTGAAGAGACCAGTGAGCCTGCTTTTCTCTGTTGTTGAGTTGCTATTGTTTCTGTAATACATAGCGCTTTATTTACATTGATTATCTTTACTCAGTGAGATAGTGTGGGTTGTTTCTTTCCAGAAACTGGTTGATTTCTTCCAAATTAATTTTCTGTGCTTTACTTAAAATTATCTTGCTCTGGTTTGGCAGTTATTCAATGTGGTACATTAAACTGTTGAGTTAAGGTCTTTCTTCTTTTCTAATACATGCATTCATTGTTTTAAGTTTCTCCCTATGCACTGCTTTTTCTGTATCCCACAAGTGATGTTAACATGTTTGTTCATGTTCACATATTTCAAAATACTTAAATTTCTTTGGTATTGTTTCTTTCAATGCCTGTGACATTCAGCCATGGAATGTGCAGTTTCTTGGACATTTTCCAGCTATGTTTATGCTTTTGATGTCTGGTTTAATTTCAGTATGGTCTTTCAGTATGGAAAGTGAGCAACTGACTATGATTTCTTGCTGCGGCCCATGAAACTTCAACAAAGGATCTTAAGTACTGGGGACTGGAGATGGAGAAAAACACATGTGGGGAGCCATTCTCACACGTGATCGGGTGCCTCCCGTTGAGGGTCTGAGGCACTTTGGCATAAGTCGAAGTTTTTCCCGGCCCTTTCCTGATGAGAGAGCCCATCCGTGTGGGGGTGTGCCTGACCACTGACCCCGGGGACCCAATCGCTGACCCTGACCTTGGAGTGCAGCCCCCCCTCAACCTTCATTGGATGGAATTCTCCCCTGAATCTCTTGTTCCCTAATAAAAGGCTAGTCCCCGGGCGTGCTAGCTCTCTCTCCTGCTAGCCCTGAGTAATCCTTGCTGCCCTGCTGGGCGGCTAGAGGAGCGAACCAGAGAGGGGAGCCGTCTCGGACCTAGCAATAGAATTAAGGTAATTGAGTCTTGTGTTTTTATTTCGATCTCGTCTAACTAACTTTATGCCTAGAACTTCATTAATGAAACCACTGCGCAGGCCGCGTGGTAGAAACACAGATACATTTTTAAGCAAAGCTGGGGCCAGGTGGGACACTGCCTTCTGATGGAGGAACAGTGACCCAGAACTAGCTCTGCAAGTTTATTATATAGGGACTCCTAATCAGGAAGTTTAACTATTGTGGCATTGTAAAGTGTTCAGATTCAAATCTTGTGAGTTATTAAGAGGCTTCTTTGTGTGCTAAAAAGTTACAGAGCTAGAAACTGCTGTACCCAGAAAAAGCATTGTACTGGAACATTTGATAACTGAAGTCTGTGAAGTCAGGGCCAAGTGTCAAGACCATTCACATCCTCGCCTTTGGCAAGGAATGTTTCCCAGGCTTGGCCTTTGCCACAATGCAGGATCAGCTGATGACTATGGGCTCATCTGCTCCCCACAATTTGTGTTCCTTTAGGTTTGTTCCTTTAGGTGTGTCTTGTAGCTCAGAACAAGACAGAATTGGTAAAGATTCTGTATTGTGGTACAGCAAATGAGAACTTTGGCAGTTTAAGAGCTGTCAGGCTGTGGTTTTTGCCTGTGGACACACAGAAGCTCAGCTTACTGACATTTAAACATAGTGGCTTGTGGTGGCTAACAGGTACCTGTAAAAGATAACTACAGTGGCAGAAACAATAAACCAAGCAACAGAGACAGAACAATCCTACTTTAGGCTTGGTGTAGTAAAAGTCCCTAAGTTGTAGAAGCTAAGAGTCCCTGGGCAGTTGACAAGCTTGCATCCATATAAGAAATGTAGAATGTGGGCTAGCACTGTAGCTCAGTGGCAGAGAACTTGCCTAGCATGCATGAGTCACTGGGTGCCATCCCAGCACCACATAAAAAGAAACAAATAAAATAAAGACATTCTGTCCATCTACAATTTCTTTCTTTTTTTTATATATATTTTATTTTTTAGTTATCGGCGGACACAACATCTTTGTTTGTATGTGGTGCTGAGGATCGAACCCGGGCCGTACGCATGCCAGGCGAGCGCGCTACCACTGAGCCACATCCCCAGCCCTGTCCATCTTCAATTTCAAAAAAAATTTTTTTTTAATGTAGAATGCACCTTCCAATAGAATTGCACCAACTCCCTTGCCTTGATGTACCCCAAACATGCTTATATAAAGTAATGGCCCTGCTGTGCTCAGTGCTCAGACTTTGGGATTTATCTTTCTGGGCTGTGACACCATGAATAAAGTATTGCTTTCAGATATTGGTGTCCTGACCCTCATTAACAGCTTTTTTTCTGCCAGTCTTTCTGCAGAACATTTACATTTAAGGTAATTACTTAAATTACTTAAATGTAATTATTAAATGTTTCCTTGGGGCTGGGGTTGTGGCTCAGTGGTAGAACGCTTGCCTAGCACATGCGAGGCCCTGGGTTTGATCCTCAGCACTACATAAAAATAAATAAAATAAAGGTATTGTGTCCAACTACAACTAAAAAATAAAAAAGAAAATAGAGTGTTTCCTAATTTAAAAGAACAATAAAATTATCACTCTCTTATTCCAACAAATTTAAATATCGTTAGAGGTTCATTATGCCCAAAGGCTTTCATAAATTAGTTTTTTGCCTTTGTTTTCTTCCTTTTTTTTTCTTGTTGGTTTGAGTTGATGCCAAAGGCCCTAAATCACTGAGCCACATCCTAAGCCCTTTTTAAAACTTTTATTTTTTTAAAATTTTTTGTGGTGCTGAGATTAAACCCAGGGCCTTGTGCATTCAAGGCAAGCCTTCTACCAACTGAGCTATATCCCCAGCCCCAAAATTTCTTTCTCTCTCTTTTTTTTTTTTTTGTACCAGGGATTGAACTCAGGGGCACTTGGCCACTGAATCACATCCCTAGCCCTATTTTTTGTATTTTATTTAGAGACAGGGTCTCACTGAGTTGCTTAGTGCCTTGCCATTGCTGAAGCTGGCTTTGAACTCGTGATCCTCCTGTCTCAGCCTCCTGAGCCACTGGGATTACAGGCATGCTCCACCGAACCAGGCCCAAAATTTATTCCTTTATCTTATTTTTTTAAATATTTTGAGACAGGGTCTCACTACATATAAGTCACTGGGATTATGGGAGTGTGCCACTGTACCAGGCATGACCTAGTTTTTGTTTTCCTAGGAAAAGGACTTGTTTTTGGCATTTTTGCAATTTTTATAGGTCCTGTGAGAGGTGAAACCTTGATGACACTGAAATCTTTCTAAGAACATGTACCACTTTTCCCCTTATTTTATTCAGCTTTGACATTCTCCAACAAAAACCTTAATGATTACCTATGAGTATACTGAGTTATCCTTCATGAGTCTTATTTACTATTATATTCTTGTGGATGTACAGAAACTAACATACAGGCTTCCAGTTGTGGTCCCTTAGTGCAACCCCAAAGGATGTGCTTAATTCTGTAAATAAGGAGTTGTAAAAAGAGGTTTGGTTTTGTTTTGTGATGCTGGGGATTGAACCCAGGGCTTTGTGCATGCAAGGCAAGCATTCACCGGCTGAGCTATATCCCTAGCCAAAAAAAGAGTTTTAAAATCTGATCCAGTTCACTAAAGATTCATCACCCAGGTGTGTTTCAGGGGATAATAAGATAGGCAACATCTAAAGGGCATGTCAAAGTCTCACAAACATGTAGAGGAGCAACAGGATTTAAACAGGCTGAATTTTGTTGGGATAACCTGCATGGGAACCCAATTCCCTCTTTACAGTTATGCTTGAGGATCATACTAACAGTAGTTCCCAGATATCAACAAAGATCAAAGTTTTTCCTCAAGTATTTCTAAGAATATGCTGTCTCATAACAGCTACTGATATTACGTGCAGTACATGTTGGACTTTGTGGTGAGAAGGGCTAGAGATGAGTGTACAAAGAGAACTGGAGTGACCCAGAAGCACAGCCAGAGTTCCTGTTCTTCCTGTTACTCTAACAAGTATATATGATCCAGCATCAGAATTGATGTGAGAGGATGTGAGCCTGGCTGGAGAGTTAGAGTGTGACACCCAGGTGTTGGAGTATTGGGAGACACAGTACCATATGAGATTCTCACAAACTGAGTGTAGGTCTGCAGTATGTCTCATTTTCTTCCTTGGAATACCTGTGGGATATTTTAGGAGTCAGTGACCTTTGAGGATGTGGCTGTGAACTTCACCCTGGAGGAGTGGGCTCTGCTAGATCCTTCCCAGAAGAAGCTCTTCAAAGATGTGATGCAGGAAACCTTCTGGAACCTGACCACTATAGGTAAGGGTGACATTTTTTTCCCTCATTTTGTCAATCAGAGAATGGTTGTTACTTGCCTATCAGTTCTGTTCCATGATCTGGAATATGGAAGGTTCACATTCTGATGACTATACTGGCATGATGACATTATTCGACAGATCTACAAGACACTGATAATTTTTATGTAATATTGAACTGACAATGATATTTCTGGGTCTGCATTTTAGGAAAAAGCTGGAAAAATCAGGCCATCGATGATCACTATATTTCCTGGAGAAATCTACGGTAATTGAACTCACAAGATAAGGCAATGTACCTCATAAATCTTGGAGTAATGTATAAAAAAGTCATGAAGAGAAGGAAAATATACATGCCATGATTTAATCTGTCTTTTTTTTTAAAACAATACATACAGTTTGAGTTGGAAAGTTCAAGATCTAAAATGTTCCAGTATAGGAACCATTTGATGTCTTAAGTGTCACTTTCTGATAATTTATTATATATATTATATACTGTGTTCCATACACAAATTACTGGATATGTATGAAATTGCCCTCAAGTGGGACCCATTTTGAAGGTATCTTACTGTGTATATGCAAATATCACAAAATCCAATCTGAATTTTGTCCCATGCATTTCACATAAATAGTATTCTTTTGTAATATGATAAACATCTTCAGGATTAAAAAAATACATTACTTGGAAGGAGTATTTAGAACCCCAAGCTAAGTGGTAGTGCATACCTGTAAATCCAGCGATTGGGAGACTGAGGCAGGAGGATCACAAGTGGGAGGCCAGCACCTTAGTAAACCCCTGAACAACTTACTGAGAGGCTGTTTCAAAATAAGAAAAATAACTTTAACAGGACTGGAATGTAGCTCAATAAAATGCAACATAAAATCTGTTGTTCTGGTAGATCATTAATAAGTAAATCCTTAGTAATGTAGTTTCTGTTCTTTGCAGAATTCAAGTGATTGAGAGAGACTGGGAACAGAGAGAAGATAATCAATATGGAGAAATATTCAGCCAGATCTTAGATCCTCTTATAAACAAGAGAAGTTCTTCTGGAGTAAAACCAAGTGAACACCATGTGTGTGGAGATGTCCTCGTTGCAGATTCATCCCTAGCCATGCCCCAGACAGCTCATATTAGACACAAAGCACATGAGTATCTGGAACATGGAGGGAAGCCATATGAATATAAGGAACATGGGAAAGCCTTCCATGATCCCCAATGTTTTCAGAAGCATGAAAGAACTCACACAGGAGAGAAACCCCATGTGTGTAAGCACTGTGGAAAAGCTTTTAGTTCTTCTAGGTACATTAAAGTTCATGAACGAATTCACAGTGGAGAGAAACCTTATAAATGCAAACAATGTGGCAAAGCCTTTCGTTTTCCCAGTTCCCTTAAAATTCATGAACAGATTCACAGTGGAAAGAAACCCTATGTGTGTAAGCAATGTGGAAAAGCCTTTAGCACTTCCAGATACATGAAAACACATGAAAAAATTCACAGTGGAAAGAAACCCTGTGTATGTAAGCACTGTGGAAAAGCCTTTAGTTCTTCCTATTATATTAAAATCCATGAACGAATTCACAGTGGAGAGAAACCCTGTGTATGTAAGCAGTGTGGAAAAGCCTTTAGTTCTTCCTATCGCCTTAAAATCCATGAACAAGTTCATCGTGGAGAGAAACCCTGTGTATGTAAACAATGTGGAAAAGCCTTTAGTTCTTCCTGTTACATAAAAATCCATGAACAAATTCACAGTGGAGAGAAACCCTATGTTTGTAAACAATGTGGGAAAGCTTTTCATTTATATAGATCGCTTCAAAGACATGAAATAACGCACACTAGAAGGAAACCCTATGTATGTAAGCAATGTGGGAAACAATTTATTTCCTCCAGCTCCATTAGAAAACATGAACAAATTCACAGTGGAGAGAAGCCTTATACATGTAAACAATGTGGGAAAGCCTTTCCTTTTCTCAGTTCTCTTCAAATGCATGAACAAATTCACAGTGGAATAAAACCATATGTATGTAAGCAATGTGGAAAAGGCTTTAATTCTTCTAACCATATGAAAACACATGAACGCATTCATAGTGAAGAGAAACCTTATACATGTAAACAATGTGGGAAAGCTTTTCATTTCCCCAGATCCCTTCAAATACATGAAATAACCCACAATGGAGAGAAACCCTTTGTATGTAAGCAGTGTGGAAAGGGCTTTAGTTCTTCCAGCTCCATTAGAAAACATGAACAGATTCACAGTGGAGAGAAGCCCTGTGTATGTAGGCAATGTGGAAAAGCCTTTAGTTCTTTCTATTACATTAAAATCCATGAACGAATTCACAGTGGAGAGAAACCTTATAAATGCAATCAATGTGGGAAAGCCTTTCATTTTCCAAATTCCCTTCAAATTCATGAACAAATTCATAGTGGAAAGAAACCCTATGTGTGTAAGAAATGTGGAAAAGCCTTTAGTTCTTCCAGCTCCATTAGAAAACATGAACGACTTCACAGTGGAGAGAAACCCTATATATGTAAGCAATGTGGAAAAAGCTTTAGTACTTCTAGATGCATGAAAACACATGAACAGATCCACAGTGGAGAAAAACCCTGTGTATGTAAGCAATGTGGAAAAGCCTTTAGTTCTACCTATTATATTAAAATCCATGAACGAATTCACAGTGGAGAGAAACCTTATGAATGCAAGCAATGTGGGAAAGCCTTTTGTTTTCCCAATTCCCTTCACATTCATGAACAAATTCATAGTGGAAAGAAACCCTACATATGTAAACAATGTGGAAAAACCTTTAGTTCTTCCAGCTCCATTAGAAAACATGAACGGATTCATAGGGGATAGAAACCCTATACGGGTAAACAATGGGAAACCTTTCAGTCGTTCTGATGCAATCAAAAGACCTGAGAAAACATTGGAGATAAACCCTACATGTGTAAGCAATGTGAAATAGGCTTTAATTCTTCAAGCCCCATCAAAGCACATGAATGAATTCACAGGGAAGAGAAGTCCTGTACATGTAAACAGTGTGGGAAAGCTTTCATTCAGTCCTGTACAATCAGAAGACAAGAAATGTACACCGGAGAAAAACCCTGTGTATGAAAACAATGTGGCAAAGCCTACAGTTATCCCTGTCCCCTCAAACAACATTAAAGAATTCACGGTGAAATGAAAACACGCATGAGAGCAGTGTGGGAAATCCTCCAGTGATTCCTCCACACTTAAAATACATGAAGGAATGCACACTGGAGAGAAAAGCAGCAAAGCCTTTACTCCATTCAGTTACCTTCTCAAACATCAAGGATTCACTTTTGAGAGAAACTCCATGAGTGTAAACAAAGTGAGCAAGCTTTCATTGCTTACAGTTCTTTTTGTTGTATGTGTATGTGGTGCCGGGGATTGAACCCAAGGCCTTGTATATGCAAGGCAAGCACTCTACCAACTGAGCTATATCCCCAGCCCCTCACAGTTCCCTTTGATACCATGAAACAATTCACACAGAGGAGAAACCTTAATGATGTCAGCAATGTAAAACCGTCTTTTTCTCAGATTGCTTCAACTACATGGAAGAACACACTGGAGAGTAACTGTGAATACAGAAAAGTGGGAAGTTTTTATTATCACAGAAACTTTGTTGCAAACATGAGAATACAGGTGCAATAACTTTTATTATTGCAAAGGATATGGGAATGCTTGTCATCTTGGTTCAGGATACTCTATAAATGAACACAGTATGCAGTGGAACCTGCAATAGAAGACATATTCAATGATCTACATTTGGTTCACATGTAAGAAATCACAGTGGATTAAAACCCTGTGGATGTGAAATATTCTCAGAAGAGAGTTCTCCTGTTGTAAGATAGTTTCAGAGGCCTATGAAAATTCCTCATGTAGCAGAATTCTATATGTGCAATTGATATGAAGAACTTGGTGCAAAATAATTAGAAGTCTCCAGAAACTCTATTACCTAGAGATTTCCCAAAACTTATATTATTTTCACCAGTAATTCATTCTTAAAGTAATCTCTGCACTGTGTGTTTCTAATCTGGATTCTTTGAAATAAAGATTGAGGTGAAACATTTCTGAGTTTTGTTTAGGTAGGCTGTATTATCTGAGTTTAATAGGTACTATATTTTAAATCAAATCTGGTAGTATGTCTTCTAACATTTTGAAGCATGTTGGCTCTAAAGCAATTTGATGTGTATTTCTAATATGCCATTAGGCTTCATTTATATGAAGTTTTTTTTGGGGGGTGGCAAATGTAATAGTGTCTTTTTTATTAAATTATTTATTCCAATTTGTTATACATGATGGCAGAATGCAATTCATTTTGTATTACAATTTGTAGTTTTATGTATACAGGTACATGTATACATGTGTATGTTTTTTCTCAGGGGAAAATGACATTTTTACATGGATTTTATATTTTTCACAGTTTGATGGCATTTTTTTCTATAGTATTGGCACATAATGATTACATAATGATTACACATAATGGTGAAATTCATTTTTACATATTTGTATATGCCCATGATACAGCGATAGATGTATATTTTCTTCAAAACAGATATTTGTTCATGCTTTATTAGATTTAAGAAATGTTTGAAACAAAATGCAGATTAATATACATTAGCTTTTTCTTTAAGAAATTTTTTGGGTAAATATTGATAATACTGTGATAGAGTTCTTTTGTGATACAGATCTGAGAAGAATGAAATTCATTTTCAGTGGGATAGCAATTCTCTTCAATTGTAATTTCAACTTAGACTTCCCTATTGAATTAATTACAGCTATCATCTGTACAATATTTCTTACAGTTTAAGGGCAGGAAAATCAGATTGCTGTGTCAGTCCTAGAGACTAATTTATGACTCAATGAGACACCCCCCCCTTTTTTTTTTTTTTTTTTTTGCAGTTCTGCTTGCAGTTCTGCATTTTGAACCCAAGGCCTCACACTTTCTAAGTACATCCTCTACAATTGAGGTATATCCCCAGCCCCACTTTTTTTTTTTTTTTTTTTTTTTTTTNTTTTTTTTTTTTTTAGTATTTATTTTTTAGTTCTCGGTGGACACAACATCTTTGTATGTGGTGCTGAGGATCGAACCCAGGCCGCATGCATGCCAGGCGAGCGCGCTACCGCTTGAGCCACATCCCCAGCCCCACTTATTTTGTTTTGATAAAGGGTCTCAATTGCCCAGGCTAATGTCTAGTTTGCAATCCTCCTGCCTTAGCCTCCCAGGAAACACTGAGCCAACCCTAGCCCAAAACAGGTTCTTTCTAAAGCTCAGGGACTTATCTGCCACAGCCTTGGAGATTCCTAACTTACATGAGCCATTCACCTGGCATGTAGCTGAGAGACAAGGTGTGGCATGAGTCTTCACTCAAAAACTGAGATATATTCCTCAGTCTGTGGCTTACTTTTCTAAACAGTTGGATTCCATGTCCTGTGCATGGCCTGGATACCTAGGGGCTTGGTGGCCACAGCCCTTTTGGTAGAGGAGGCCACCAAGGATACTTACTAGACACCAGGCTCAGTGTCCTTGAAGTTAAAAGACATCAATATCAGCCAGCAGAAGATGTCTGGTGGATTAAGGAGGGAGATCAGTGGCTAACTGGAGGGTGACTGACCAAGCCCCAATCCTCATACTGTAATCTGCCGCAGGCCGGCTGCAGCAGAATAGCCGGGGGGTGACGAATAACTTCTGTAGATTGATGCAGCAGGAATAGGAGCCGTTTATTGTAGGACAACAGAGCTATTTATACATTTTGCACAGCTTATCTTAATTAGCATAAACTAGATACATCAATCAACCAATAAGGAATCTCCACACTTAATGGCTTGCTTTTGTTACTTCTCAAACCACTCCCTCTGACATTTTGCCAGGCACCATCCAGACTTGTTTACAACTCTAACATTTCTCTGGCAAAATACCAGGTGTTATTTTTTACTTATTTACAGACCTTAACAGTAATCCCCTGAAGTCTTTTCTAAAATTTGCGCAACTCTAAACCTGGCAACCATGCTTCCTAAAAGCTCATAGAAGGGAACACACACACACACGAATGGACCAGTGATGCTCTGTTCAGTACTAGAGGGGCACAACTTCAGGGAAAATTGTGGTGGGCCACCATGAGGGTCTGGCTTTTATATGGCCTTAGCAGAGCCAGGTATGGGAAGAGTTAGGTACTTTTGGTGGGCATTCTTGGTGGGAGGGGCCACCAGGACAGGGAAGGAGGGCAGATAGAGGAAGAGAGGTTCCTTGGGGGCCCATTGTCCATGTCATTCATTCCAGGTTCTTAGGACATACTGCATTGGAGCGATGTCATATACAATTCTGGTAGTTGTGGCCGGCTTGAGTGGCTGTAGAGAGGGAATTTCAGCAGCATCATGGGTGATTCCTTCCTTACGGGACTCAGGAGAATGATTTATTATGGGGCTCAGGAGAGTCACATTGTAAATGAAGTAGAATGGCTTTTGAATGCTCTTTCAAGGTGGGCTAGATAGGTCACCTTGTCAAGAAGTTGCTTCTGTATAAAATAAACCAAGCAGAGGGGAAAGGTCATTGCCAGAAAGACCAGCATTAGAGAAGTTGAAAGATGGGAGAAGCCAGGAAGTCCTGTGTTTTAAGAACTGACTAATTCTTATCTCTGTTGTTCCACTTGGTCTTGTAGTTGTTTAAACATATTCCCTATCAGTCCCAAGTGATTGACATAGAAGCTACATTTTTCCCCTAGAAAGAGGCACAGGAGATCTAGGCCCTGATGATTTTGCTGGATGACAGATGCCAGTACCAAATTGGTGACCTGTTGGATATCTTCAATAAACTGTACAGACAATTTTTTTAAGCCAGATTTATTTATTTATTTTTAGTTCTCGGCAGACACAACATCTTTGTTTTTGTATGTGGTGCTGAGGATCGAACCCGGGCCGCATGCATGCCAGGCGAACGAGCTACCACTTGAGCCACATCCCCATCCCCAGACAATTTTTATAGTAGTAAATAGAGTTCCTAATCCTGCTGCTCCTGTGGCAATCCTAGTGGATATCTCTATCCCTATGAGTAAAGGAATAAATGGAATGGCTGTCTTGTAGCCAGTGTGTGCCTTTATCAGATAGGCAATCTTTGATTGTTATATAAAATGTCAATTTGAGGAGTAAGGAAGACCAAGGCACAGAGGCCAATTCAATTTTTGGCAGGCAGGGGTAAATATGAGCCTTGCAAAGGAAAAATTTCTCAAAATTTGGGGGCATCAGTGTTGTGGAACTGACATAGTGTATGACTTAATGTTATAGTTAAAGCAACGTCCCCAGGTTTCATAAATTGACTTCCAGACCACTCATATATAATTGAATCAAGCCTTTATTGAAGCACACCGGTGGCGGCTGACCAGAACATACAGCTGTTCCCCTGATTAGTCCCAAACAATTGCAAGGGCACCCCTTATAAGCCTGAAAGCCACAAAAGGGATGTTTGGGGGTCCAGCCGACGCAAGCCAGCCAAGTAATAGAAGCGGGAAAGTGCAGTCAGGTGGCGGGACACTTAGCCAATCACAATTAGCCCAGTCACCCCAGTTCCAGAAACACAGCCCTGTTACCCTAGTTACAGAAACAATGCCCCATTAAGTAATTCCGTGTTCTTAAGGGTTTCTATTTATTTATTTATTTTTTTTTTTTAGTTGGCGAACACAACATCTTTGTTGGCATGTGGTGCTGAGGATCGAACCCGGGCCGCACGCATGCCAGGCGAGCACACTACCGCTTGAGCCACAACTTAAGGGTTTCTATAGCAAAAGGAAAAGAACAACTTGCCCCATTCATGACCTTCTACTTGGCATGGCTGTTTTACAGAATGGAGTCACTTTGGCTTGACTATCACATTAGTTCTATTAAAAGAACTATTGCTGGGGCTGGGTGCCGCAGTCTGGCTGGGCACAATTCAGGAGCCACTTGTCAAAAGAAACAAACTTTATTTTTAAAACTACAAACGCCAAACAAAACAGCTCCTCAGGAAAAACCCTCAGAGCCCAACTGCCACCACCGGCTTCCACAAGCCTCTCCCCCACACCAACCACCACCTCCCACAATCCTCCTGCTCTTGAGGCCGATTGGCTAGGTCGCGTAGGCGGAGCCAAAGAAGTCCCCCAATGAGCAGTTCCGTAGTCTGAAGGGCAGGGAAACAGCCCAATGAACATGACCGCAGAGGAGCCAATCAGCTAGATGTTGCTGGGGCCGCTGTGAGCCAATCATCAGCGGCAGTCTGAAGGGCAGGGAAACAGCCCAATGAACATGACTACAGAGGAGCCAATCAGCTAGATGTTGCTGGGGCCACTGTGAGCCAATCATCAGCTGGCAGCTTGAAGGGCAGGGAAACAGCCCAATGAACATCACCGCAGAGGAGCCAATCAGCTAGATGTTGCTGGGGCCACTGTGAGCCAATCATCAGCCGGCAGCTGGAAGTTTGCTGGCAGCTGGAAGTTTGCTGGGGCCCCTTTGGCTGTGGCTCTCAACAGCTGGGGATGTGGCTCAAGCGGTAGCGTGCTCGCCTGGCATGCGTGCCATCTGGGTTCGATACTCAGCACCACATACCAACAAAGATGTTGTGTTCGCTGAAAACAAAAAAATAAATAAATAAATATTAAAATTCTCACTCTCCTCTCTCTCACTCTTTCTTAAAAAAAAAGAGAATGGTGATGATTGAAAAAACTCTCTAAACATACTAAAAACTATTATACACTTTAAAAAAGGTAAATTGTATGGTATATGAGTTATACCCTAATAAAGCTTTTTTTTTTTTTTTTAAAGGTTACCCTGTTTTAGGGAAGGCTTTCACAAAATAGCTGTTACACAAATTCTTACAAACTTTTATAAAAACCATACATCTTTCAAATTCATTAAGATTATTACTTGGGTCTGGGTTGTAACTCAGTGGTACAAAGTGTACACATAAACACAAAAAATATTATAATCATTCAGGATAACCTTTAGAATAATAAAGGAGAAATATGGCTGCCAAAGAATGTTCAGGAGTTGCACTTTTAACAGGAAGTGAAAAAGAACCTCATAGCAAACACACTAAATTGAAAAGTTAGAGAAAATAGATGAACCAACAGAGAAAAATGAAAGAAATTTTAAACCTAATTTTAAAATCCTGACTTACCCTAATTGTTACAAATTGTGTCACATATATTCTAGACARTTTACAAAATAAATAACATTAGCTTTATATTTGGAAAAATTTAAAACAATAGCCTTAAAAGGAATCTAATAACTTAGACCAGTGGTTCTCAAATATGTTTCATTATTTCAGATCAGCTGGTGTTTAAAAATACTTCATTTGGGGGCTATGACTCAGTGGTAGAGTGCATGCTGAGCATGAACAAGGCTTGGGTTCAATTCCCAGCATCAAAAATATATAAACAACTTTATTTTTGATAGCCTTACCTACATTAGAAAGGTATAATGTTCAGAAAGAAAGGCATTAAGATGAAGGAAAACACTGGTTAAAATATGGCTAAAAATGCCAAAATGCACTCAATATAAATGATACAATGAAACTATAGAAAATAAAGTGTGTTCTCACCTGCCCATCCATGCTCCCAACAAAGTGGATTCCATCCACTGTACAGGTTCAATGAAATAAGATGTACATTGAGCCTGATTCCCTGGGGCAAGCATGAAAGATGGTGTCATTCTCTGGTGGGCAAAGGCTAGAGGCCTGCTTCCTTCGTTATGATCCAAAATGCTAGAACTTCGAAATAAGGATCGCCTGCATTTTCTACATTTGTAGAGAACTTCATCTTTTAATCCTTGTGAAATGGTAGTTGGATCAACAGCAAAGAGTTCTTGAGGTAGATTGTGCAATTCTGGATACTTGTCTGTAAACTTTTGTAAGCGATACTGCTTATAAATTGCACCAGAGGTACCCGCTTCATATCCCATTGCCTGGTATGATTCCAGTTGATATTCAAACCTCTCATTCATCTTAGCTTCAGGTTTTATAGTCTGTAGATTTTCATAGGCTTTTTCAAAGGTAAGGCGGTCAGTCTTCATCAAAAAGCAGTCACTATAGCAACACTTCGACTGATGCCTGCGTGGCTGAAAAAGAGACCAGTGCACCAGCACCGCACGGCCCTCCGAGCGCGCCTGGCGGATGCAGGCCACGCACCCATCCAGATGGCTGAGCCAGTCGGTCTCGGGTTGTCCAGGGCTGGCACCAAGAGGCTCCGTAGACCTTCGAACCCAGCCCCCTCCTTGAAACCAGGTTCTGAGTCCACCGTCAACACGGCAGAGATGCCGGCCTCCTTCAAATAATGCGGCTCTGCGACTGCCCCACCCAGGTACAGCCCAGGCCGCACTTGCAGCATCTCCCGGGCTGAGCGTGCTGAGTCCCGCTCCCGCAGCCAGGGCTCGAGCCCTGCTCTGCCAACAGGGCCCAGAAACATTTCCTTTTCCTTCTATTTTCTGTACTGATATTTCCATACCTAAAACCTTCTTACATCTCTTTCCTAGCTGTTGATCCTTTTTCTTAATTTACACTCTGATATAACCTTTATGAAATTTCTAAATTTAGACAAATTACTCGATTTTATTTTTTTTTTTTGAATTTTTTAATATTTATTTTTTAGTTCTCGGCGGACACAACATCTTTGTTTGTATGTGGTGCTGAGGATCGAACCCGGGCGCACGCATGCCAGGCGAGCGCGCTACCGCTTGAGCCACATCCCCAGCCCAAATTACTCGATTTTAATAAGATGAAATACTTTATGCTATTTACAGTACTTTAATACTGTAAATAGCATAAAGTATTTCATCTTTATATCATAGCTCCCAAATGAAGTATTTTTAAACACCAGCTGATCTGAAATAATGAAACACAGTTGAAAATTTTGGAACCTATGCATATAGAATTATACCTGTTAGAACTTAACTCTTAGTAACCTTGTTTTCAGTGAAGAAAACAATCTATTTTTATCTGTTTTATACAGATAAAAAAATCTTAAACCTTTTTCCATTTACCAATTTATGAAAACATACATGATGTTTAAGTATATTACCCTATAGAATAAAAGATATCAAGAGTACTTGATTTTATATTTATCAGTTTGCACTTTAACTCTGTAAATTAATCTGGTGCCTCTAACAAACACATTTATGAAGATTAATCCCATTGATGTTAAATCTAATTAACTTACTTTTAACTGTAAAAACCCAAACAACAGACAAGTGTAGATAACAGTACTAGCCATCTTTTTGCTGTTAAAGAAAAAATCCTAGGAGCAATGGATATTGCATTCTAGACATTTTACAGAAATTAACATTCTACCAATTGTCTGACCACCTAGAAAAACTTGTCAATTACTCATTTTAAAGACATTTTTAATGTCACTTGTTTACCTAATTTAAATCTGACTTTTTTTTTTAATCCCATGAACTAAAGGTATTTAGGTCCGTTTTTCTTTTATAGCTTAATTTATGTGTGCTCATTTATCGCTGTCAGTTTTAATACCATGTACATGACATGGACATAAGGACATATGTAGACAAAACACAGTATACAGTGTGCACACATACACAAGACAGGCAAGAAACAGACCACGTAACTGCTTAAAACCTATTAGACTGAGAGTTCACCCTTGCAAACTGGCCTCTGAACAAAGCAGAATGAAAAAAAAAAAAAAACCTCTTGGATAAAAGAGGATCGATAAGAAAATCATTAATCTTGGTGCACAGGATCAAAAACCGAGAGCTCAAAAAATATAGAATTTGTAAAAAAAAAAAGTCCTATAAAAATATAATATGGCCATAATTAAAATAACCTACTATTACTTATGAGGGTGAGGCTCCCTCTTAATAAACAAAAAGAAAACAGAAATATGGGCACATGTGCTGAGAAAACTGGGTTTTTTTTGGCTGGGGGCAACTCCCAATCCCAGAGTCTCTAGGGATCAACGTTTCCGACTTTCCTTCCATGACCTCTGGCTGGGGCCTCACTCAGAATGGAGGATACTAACTAACCTTTTGTAAATTATTTTGAGGGAGGACATTTGCCAGCTAGTTGTGCCCTTAAATCTTCTTCCACGTTCCTCACAGAACCATGATCTCATCTTAAGCTCCTCAATTTTAAGTGCGAGGCAAGTCTCTTAATATTCTGGGTGATGTCTCCACTAGAGAATATAAATAATTCGGGTTCTTGGACTTGGACAGATGAAGGGTAGTTTTATTCTAATTAACTGAGACAGATTTTTTGTTTTTGTTTTTTTTCCTGCCAGATGAGGGGAGTAAAAGAGAAAATGTGTCTCAGGAGAGTCTAGAGAAGGAAGTCTAATTTTATTTTATTTTATTTTATTTTTTTTTTTATTTTTTTTTATTGGTCGTTCATAACATTACATAGTTCTTAATACATCATATTACACGGTTTGATTCACGTGGATTATGAACTCCCCCTTTTACCCCGTATACAAATTGCTGTATCACATCAGTTTCCCTTCCATTGATTGACAT